TGCACCTGGGAAACTATTACAAACTGAGCACAAGGAAGAAAATTAGATATGAAAGTGAGATCGCTTGTACGGGACGGTATCGAGACCGATGTGAGTGGCTATTAAAAACCAATCAAGCGGACGCCCGTGTGGCGTGCCCCCGTGCCCCCGTGGCCCCGCGCTCCGTGCCCCTGTGCCCCCAGTGTCACTAGAAGATGTCGATATCGATACGATTGATAGTCGTAGTTCACAAGTATACATTGACTTTATGTATGAGCCATTATAGAACAGCATTGAAAAGTTACGACTACAAATTGATTTAAATTATTTTTAAGTTTTTAATTTTTGCATTGTTTTGATTTTGTCTAGATAATTTTCTTTGGGTTTTTCCAGACAATGTGACACATCTGTGTCCAATGTTATCGAGGTCCATACAGCCGTCCTGGAGACACCTTTGAACAATATTCATTCATCCAACGATCCAAAAATTCAGAATTGTATTATTAGTTAAATTATCGAAGTATTAAATACTTAAAAAATATTAGCACTAAACTGTTATAGAACGAAAGAAGACTATTATATGAGTAAGCTTTCAAAAATTATCGGATCACTGATTCTTATAGTTTCATATATCACAAGACATACCCTAAAGTATTAAGCTATTGGCACTTAATGTTTTTAAGTGTAATACGAGCCGGTCGTTAAATGTTGGACGTAGTTTACGACGTAAAATCCAATATACAGTAAACGAAGCTTTGCTTTAAGATGAAAAATGGAAACACGTAAAAGAAACGAAGATATTAAGGCGTATATAGATTGTGCGGGCGCTATCGGTGACGTAAGTGGCTATTAAAAAGCAATCAGGCGGACATGTTACATCCCTTGCGGACATTTAGACCGGCCTACCAAATAAAAATGACTAATCCTTTGCTTTTCATTCCTTATTCTGTAGTAACAAAATATTATCAGGATTTTCGTCGCATATTGAGTCTACTAATTAGTTATTAAATACTCTGTGATTAACTTTAAATTCTGAAATATTTTTTAAATTCCAAGTAAAATATTCAACGCTGTATACAGGGTGTCCCAAAGGTCAAATTGCCCCAGAAGGTGTAAAATTTTTAAGTTTTTAAAAAATGTCATTTATTTTTTTTTAATACCCAGAGGCGAATTTTTATTTTATTTTTCTTGTGACCCTTGTGACCACCCCTATCATCCCCCTTCCTATGTACGTAACCTTTTGGGACACCCTATATTATCTTGATGCGAATATTGTTCAGAGTGGTGTTTTTAATTTAAATTAATTAAGCAAACTGTCCATTTATTGATTGAAATTTACATCACTACAGACAAAATTAAGACATAAAGGTACGCGTCCATTGTACCGCGCCCGACGCACTGCACGCACGGCACGCAACGGCTTTTAGTTTGCTTTGTATGATTTAACATAGTGCTGCCATCATTCGCGCTGCCCCATCGAAAGACAAAGCGAATTTGTTTAATCCATGCGTTGCGTCCGGCGTTGACCAATGGACGCGTACCTTTCTTTAAATTTGTATGACAAATATTTTTTATTTCTTTTTAATTGAGCATACACAATTTGCTGACATATATATGTATGCAGTTACAAGAATTTCTTGACCCGTTATATGTGCTAGATGTCCTCCTTTCCAGTTAGAACTAGACCTCATTAAAACATTGTGTGCCGAGGTCAAGTTGTCGTGTAAGCCAAAATACAAGAACTTTACAGATAAGAAACTTTAAAATCACATACAAAATGTTATTTTACTAGTTTTATTGTACTTTGTATATTATTTTATATATATAAAAGAAAGTCGTGTTAGTTACACTATTTATAACTCAAGAACGGCTTTACCGATGTGGTTAAAAATTGGTGAGGAGGTTGCTTAGAGCCATGAGACGGACATAGGATACCATTTATTCTTTTTTTCGAATTTATTTAATTAATCTGCTTTTTATTTAACTTACTAATATTAGAAATGCGAACGTTTAGATGGATGTGATGTGGGCTACACTAATTAAGTTTTTTATATATCTACACGGACGGAGTCGCGGGCGACAGCTAATGTTATCTATCAAGTTAACTATGTTCTACGTGTAAACATAATTAACGACATTGCAATATTAAACCTAATAACATAATATATAACTTGAAATGTATTTAACACAATATTTTTTTTTTTATATCATAAGGTGGCAAACGAGCGAGCGACCACCTGAAGTCGCTAAAATAGCGAAGTAACCGTTGCCCATAGACATACGCAATTGCATATGCGTTGTCTACCTTTAATCGACGGAAGAGAGGATGCACAGAAAGAAAAGATCTTCCCTTCCCATGCATCCTCTCATCCGGAAAGTCCACTTCCACTTCCCATCCTTTCCTTATAAAAAAAAGGGTGGGAAGGGAAAGAGGACTAATTTTGGCCTCCGGGACGCACACTCATCAAACGAAACGCGGAATTGCTACCACTTCACGCCTGTCTTCTGTGTGGTCGTGGTATTTCACCGGGCGAGCCGGGCCGATTCGTGCGAAGATGTTAAAGCGGGCTCTACCACTGTTAAAATATCATTAATAACAATGAAATTCGCTAAATACTAAATATAAATTATATTTCCGATAAAATAACATATTCCATAACCAACTTTGAACGTTACGAAATAACAAATTCATCCATATATATGCATAGAATAATTATGTAAACACACATCAGTGGATTTGGTGTAAGTAAACACGATTCTGTCATGGCGGGAGTTTACACTGGTTAAATAAATAGTTTGCGCTTCAAAACTGTTCCCGTCTTCAACTACGACTGTTTTCTATTTATTTAATAACAATTTTACTTAAGTCGATGTGAAAACGCTATGGGAGTATACATTATGAGTATGATTTAATTATAGATTGTGTAAAATAATTGAAATTAACATATCCATTATACTAATGTCAATATTAAGTGTCGATTCTGCGTAAGTTATTGATTTAGAGATCCCACTAATTTAATTTTCAAAGTTAGTTGAACTATTTTGAGTGATTCCTTTGAGAGCCAAGTTAATTTATACTTATAATCAAGAATTTTTAGAGACAGTATTATACTGATTACTTACTTCCCTTTTTTAACCTGATTAAGTAACGTGTTTCGTTGTTTCTAATAGTTTAATGTAGCTTCTTTTGTATGATATATTATAACCTAATGTCTGTTGAGTTAAAATATGAAAACATAAAAAACTTGAATTATATCTCTGATAAAAGTCACATTACAATGCATAACAACTCTTTGTAAGTTGCTAAAGTATATTTGAGAAGTCTTTAGTGCTGTCGTCATACAGAAGTGTTCCATTAATCAGGAACGTCTCCGTGTAAAGTATAAAGGCAGTGTCGAGGCGCGGTCGGCGCGGTGACGGTGCGGGACGTTCAATGGAAACGGATTTGACGTTTCGTTTCATCATAATGTCATTGTTGGGAAGAAAATTTATTAAAAAAATAATTCTACTAAAAATGCATTTCTTTTAATCAAGTTGTTAAGTAAGTTGGAGATACAATTCTATTTTCAAAAAATAAAGATCTGATATCGTACTTCTAACTAATATTTTAACTGTGAATGTTTACATGTATGGATGGATGGTTGGATAGGTATTTGTTTTAAGGTATCTTCAGAACGGCTCAACGGGTCTTGACGAAATTTTCCATGTATAATCTGGAAGAACACATAGACCACTAGTTATTTTTTTTTAATGCAATACACAATTATTCGCATTTGAACAAATAAACGATTCAATTTAATTTGCTTTCAACAACTAATGTCTATAAAGAATAATATTTGTGTGTTCGTCCGGTTTTACAAGTATTTGAGAATTTGATTGATATATTTCATGTATATGTTTTATGAACGCGGTCTGTGTTTTAAATTAAAATTGAATGCTGGTTCACTTTACTATAACTACTGCGGCAGACAGACTGGCTATACATTTGTATTTGATGTTTCCCGCGATGTCAATCTATGCCCGTATTTAATCTACGACTAGACTAGACAAAATAAACATTGCAGTTCATACACCAAACATCAAAGCAACAGTGTTCTGTTATTTTATAGTATACATTTTGTGGTACTTTATCACATATTTACAATGATTCTACGAACTTAAATTCTTTTATGATTTTTACTCGTGATACTTATGTACTAGATGTCGCTCCCTACACCGTCCGCGCGGAATTTAAAAAAAAACTTAATATGTATATGTGTTCTTCCAGACTATTTTTACGTGTATGCCAAATTTCAGCGAAATCCGTTGAACCGTTCTGGAGATACCTTCAAACAAACATCCATCCATCCATCCATCTAAACATTCGCATTTATAATTTTAGTAAGGAGTGATACTAGTAAGATGTGTTATTCGAAAAGAAGTAACTGCAGCATAAAAGTGATGTGTAACGATTATTTTCCTTTTTAAATGTTCAATTAAATTACAAACAATATGTACGCTACGATTAAGGGTCCTTCAAGAAGCGAGCTTATCACTATCTCAAAGGCCGGTAACGCATCTGCGGTTCCTCTGGTATTGCTGATGTCCATGGGCATGGTTAAACACCTCGGTGTTCCCGCTGCTCGTTTGCCCCTTCTGTTATAAAAAAAATGTCTTGATATACTCTCGAATACATAACTCAGAGATAATGCGTAAGGAATGCCGTTCGCAAATCAACGCCGTTAGTTGTAGGGCTAATCTGACTGTGACTTGTTAATGAACAACGCCAAACGTACCTGCCCGAGGATTTGCAGATTATTTATTAGGAAATTTGGCTACTATTGGTCATATATTGTTACTTTATTACATTAGACCACTTAACATTAGATGTATTTATAACTACAACAACAACAAACACATAACTCATGTCCGTAATCTAGAAGGGTAGGCAGAGACCTCCATTTGATGCAGTCCTAATCTTTAATATCTAAAATGTACTAAAGAATTGTAACTAAGTACTAAGGTCACATAATTTCTGTCAGATTGAATCACGCCCTGTGGGGCTTGCGGCCGTGGTGGTGGCACGCATGCAATGTATGCCTGCACGCGGCGTGCTGCGCGTTGGTTGCACGCGCCTGCGTCACAGTAGCACGTCTGCAGCGACCCTTCGCCACCCTCGCTGCGCTACTCTTCGCGGTACATCCTGTACACACTGAAGCGGTAAGTTGAACACGCTGTATGTACAGTCGACGACATTTATTTCCTACCTAGTGATATCATTTGACGCTCAAAATGCAGTAAGGTGATATTTTGATTTACGGTAATCGATCCTGTTTAAGTTTTGTGAGCCAAAAGATTTTAAATATGTTATTTTGTTTGACAGGTGGCTGGAGTAGTGGGACGAGCAGACGTGCTGGCCTGCATATTTTTTCTTTCATCACTTTTAGTGTACCATAGGTAAGGTAATTTACTAGTAAAATACAACTAACATGGTCAGTTATTTAATGTAACATTAATAATCAAATAAACATATTAAAATCCCTATTATTCCGTAGACCAACTAGTGGAAAGAAAGGCGTATGGCTGAGCGTATTCTTGGGCGCTCTAAGCATGCTCGCCAAGGAGACGGGCATTACGATATTGGTGCTAAACATCGCTATCGACTTTTACAGATGTTGGCCATTCGTGAAGAGGTAAGATTGGTGTTACGAGCATCAGAATGACGTTATACTTTTATGTCTTAACGCTACGTTTTATTTTTTGTTACACAGCACTATTTTAAAGAAATATCTATCTGTACATGCGTTTTCCTTTTGACATTCTAGCTTACTATCTATTATAGTAATATTATAGTCAGTCATAAAAGCAAAAATATAAATATGTTGAAAATAATTGTAGACCTATTGAAATGAAACACGTCGGATCCTTATTCTAAAAAATTAAAGTACATTGCTTATTCAGTCGGATTTCTTTTGTAACACACATTTTCTAATGAAAATTCCTCAGTTAGAAGCTTTCTAAAAGCCATTGTTGCGAATGTCTTAAAGTTTTTCTCTTCTCATTGGTCCACATGCTTTCTATCTTACGGCTTCGCCTTCGCCGCGTCTCGACTCGCCAACGCCGTCGTGGTATAATGTGTTTCAGAAACAATACAAATGCTGAAGGAGATTTCTCGTTAAACTTTTCTTTAATGGATTTCTTTCAAAACTTAATTAAAAATGTTTTGATTAATAGCGATGCAAAAGTGTTAACTTTATTCAGTGAAAATGTTAATAAGTTAAGAAAGTGGCTTTATAGTAGTAGTACAAATATCACCAAAACTAGAACAGTATTCAAAGAACAATTTAACAGTTATAAAGAGACCAGGTTTACGACTATCATTGTGTACATTTCGTATGTTTTACTTCAAAATAATTCTAGTACATCAAAATTCTAACCTATCAGTGACTATTTGTCAGGTAATTCCAATAATGAATAATTTATTTATTCCGCGTCTAGGTCAATCACCTCGTGGAAGATAGAAAAGAAATGTACGGGGCTGTCGGTGCGGACGTTCAAAGTACTAGTGTCATTGGCACTGCTGATATGTTTGCGACTCGCGCTGCTGCAAGGAACCTGGCCCTCCTTTTCTCCCCAGGATAATCCCGCCGCTTTCCATCCTAGCTTCTTTGTCAGGTAAATTTGAAGTTATACAGACTTACCAATAATTTTTTTTATAGATCTAGTAAAAAGTTAAATTCCATCCAAAATTCCAATCTTTATTTAATTATTATCACGAAGTATTCACTAATACAATTTGCTTATTTTAAGTACTAAAAATTACCTCCAAAAAACGGTCTAAAAGTTTTCTATTTAGTAAAGGATGCAATGGTATCCGATATGAAAATATCGGATACCATTGCATCCTAATATCCATATAATTATCTCATTTACCGTCATGATGTGTCTGTTGAGTTCGTTTATTTTTAGATTAATGACATTCTGCTACTTGGCTGCCTTCAACTGGTGGTTGCTTCTCTGTCCCTGGACATTGAGTCATGATTGGCAGATGGGCTCGGTGCCTCTCATCACCAGCGGCTGGGATCCAAGGAACTTCCTTACGTGTGCTGCATTCGGCGCGCTCCTACTTCTGTGCTATCGTTGTATAGCTGACATTGAGGTAAATCTATTGAAGTTTCCACAATTCATAGTTGAGTCATATTGATGCCATAAAGTTCAAATTGAGGTATGTAAGTCTCGGTTCGTGGATTACTGAGAACGTTGGATAGGAAGGGGCACCACAGGATAGCGAATAGCACAGTCTCGCGTCCCTATTAACCTCAAGGTCATGGTGAAGAAGGCGGCACCATAGCAATCTTGCCCAGGGCTGATAGCGCTAAAACTAGCACTAGCTGTGAGTTACTGGTCTGAGTTGTGTGTTTGTGTGTGAACATGATTTTATTGGAATGTTCTGTCAACCCTATTGGAATTGTTTTAATAAATGTAACATTTTCAGATTCACCGGCACACGCCCGCTGTCATTGGCGTATTATTACTTGTCGTACCTTTTGTGCCGGCCTCAAATTTACTTGTCACAGTTGGCTTTGTTATAGCCGAACGAGTGCTTTATATACCCAGGTATTTATTACATAGTTAAGTTACAGCTCTTTTTTTCACTTTTTTATGTTTAAATATATTTGATTTAATTCTTTAAGTTTTATTTTGTTTAAATGTCTCAAAAAACATTATTTATATTTATCTGTTTAAAATTTTTTCATAAAATAAAGTGACTCGTATTAAGTTATTTTAAGATATAACTTAAAATATATGAAGCTGTCAAGATTATAAGTGGTAGCGGTACTTTGATCTTTCATTTCACCTTAATTTAATTTTATCTTCATAGCTCTCACTGGGACAAATAAAAATTATTATTTGTTCCAACGAAACGAAGAATGATATTAAACCTACGTTTTATTTTATCGCAATAATTTTGTTGTTTAATTTTTTTTTAACTTTTTTAACAGTTCCTTATATTCATCATTTAGTGTTGGTGAGATTTTTTTTTCAATTTTATTTTGTATAAAATTTTATATTTTAACTATAGCAAATCATTAACATAATTCTGATATAACATTTTCACGTATCTTTATATTGTAACAGTGTCGGCAGTGTGATAATCACGGCGTACGGTGTCCAGTTAATGTGGTGCTCGAAGCCTGGTACTAAAGTGTTCCTGGTCGTGGGTCTAGCTGTGTTGTGTGGCAGTGGGATCGCAAAAACCTGTCGTAGGAACATTGAATGGAGAGATCGAGCAACATTACTAAGGTATTCGTCTTTTTCTCTTAAAGCTCGCTATTTTAGCGAAACTATTATTGTGGAAAATCCTGTCTATTACGAAAAAAGGTTGAAAACTGATATATTATCGTAATAAATAAAAATGGTAAAATATATTTATATATTCGCAATAAAATGAACAAATAATAAAATTGTAATACATTCCAAATGATCATAAGTAAAACTCGTCTGACATGTGTCAACTCGATCAAAATATAAACTGACAGGTTTTTGTTCGCATCATCTTTATTATACCGACAAAAACTGTCATTGGAGTCGCAAAAGGCAATGTTATTTCACGAAACATGTGATCGTAATATTAAATTTAAATATAACTGTATTTTGCATATTTCACAGTTACTTTTGTCCTAAATTAACTCTACCATAAATATATTTATTTACGTGTATATATGTTTTAAATGAACTGTTTAATTAACACATTTAAGTAATATTCTTAATAGCTTGCCGTTGCTGTTATAAACATAACATTATTACGTCGTCACATTATTAAGCGTTGCGCGAAACGCTTACCGCGATTTACACCTCACAACGTTTCACGGTCCCGCGGATTTTGTTTTAAATCACCACATAAATGTATTTTGTTTGTTTTTGTTTTAGGTCGGATTTAGTGAGTTTGCCGCAGAACGCTAAACTGCACTACAACTTCGCAAACTTCCTGCGCGAGACTGAGCAGCAAGACAACGCTATCAAACATTACAAAGAAGCTTTAAGGTAAAATCTTTGTTTTATTACTATCGAATTTTGTTTTGTTTGGCTTAGATATTGAGAAGTTTTAGTAAACTGTTTCTATTAACTTTCTGTGGGTTATGTATGGTGCAAACTTGTATCGTCTAAAAGGAAAATTAATTTTACTGTAAGAAACAAAAACCACTTGGTAACTTCTTAATACCAGCAATTTAATAGTAAACTTTTTAAAGATGTAAGTCTAGCTATAGTTAACTTGTAAATGATGTTATGAGAAAACATAAATACGTAGTAATATGGATAAGTTGTATACCAACAAAAGCGAAATAATTTTCACAAGAAACCAGCGTGATTATTTAATAAAGCGATAATACCAATATGAGCTCGGTCCGTTCCGCAAACGATGAAACCGCAGAACATTGCGCACCCACGATCCTCCACACGCCTTTACATGCTATTTTAAATCGTATAAAATATATCTTAATTGCGATTTATTTTTAATAAAAGTAAATTTTTAGTAGAAATTTTAGCAATTATTTTTCCTGTTTTCTTTATTTATAATCTTAATGCTAATTATTATACAATAAGATTATTTTATAATCCATAAATATTCGTAATTGGAGTTTATGTAAACTCTAGCCGTCACCCGCGACACCAACGGCGCTAAATTAAAAAGTAACAATTAGTAGACTTTGTGTTCCTTCAGACTATTTTCTACATCTATGCCAAATTTCAGCGACATTCATACAGCTGTTCTAGAGATACCTTTTATCAAACATCCATCTTTGCGTACATCTAAACTTTCGCATTTATGATATTAGTAAAATTAATAGTAGTTTATATTATTTTATTTAATCTTTAATTTGTCCTTGTAAATTATATTTCAATCAGTATCAAATACAATGTATGTATAATGATTGCAATTTCCGTAATCAGGTTATGGCCGACGTATTCGAGCGCCCACAACAACCTAGGCACATTAGTCAGCGGCGTGGAGAACGCGGAGCACCACTTCCTGCAGGCCATCAAATACAACAAGCACCACGTCAATGCACACTACAATCTCGGGAAGTTGTACAAGTAATGTCAAAGTAATTATACGTTTGTTTCTCAGGATGTGAGAATTCACTTTACAATAATGAAACCTTACTACAAACTACCAATTTTTTTTGGAGGCATAACATAGAAAACAAATATAAGGTTTCTTAAAGGTCTTAGAAATTCTATCGTATTTTCTATTGAAATCTAGAAAAGACATGAATATTTACTTTTCGTAATTTAAAACTAAAGATTGCATATCACTTATTAATAATATTAATTTAAATAACCAATTTAACGCTGCAATTTCACCACCGGTTTAGCTTTATTTATACTAACCAAGTTACAACAGGTCCTTTTTGTCTCTAAAATAATTACTCTTATTAATAATTTACTTTAAACGCTTATAACACTATTAACTCCAAGTTCATATATATATTTTTTCTATAGGAAGAGTGGACGTATAAATATGGCAATAAAAATGCTTGAGAAATGTGTAATGTTGCGGCCACAATTCGTTCAGGCGCATGTTGAGCTTCTCACGATGATACCCGAACTGGAAAAGCAAAAGGTTTTATCAAAGTTGGTACTACTGGAACCTAATAATTGGGAATATTACATTTTATATGGAAACTGGCTACGAGAAAAAGGTTATTTCTTACTTGATTATTTTAGAATCCTTCGTAAAGGAAAATCAATAAACTGTTTTAGTATTATGAACGAAAGCATTTTATAAAAATCAGAATAATTATTTAAAAAATAATTGATAAAGTTGAAGATTTTTAGAACTAAATTTAAGGTAAAATATCTTATTTTAGTATGTGGCGCTCTAAAGCATCTTTTATTCCTGTAGGTATTTTAAGATTAGCATTAAAGTACTACCTAGAAGCGATGCGGATTACTTTTAAAACTCGAAATATTGAAAGTTTGATTAGAGGCGACCTCATTTCATATCGATCAGCCGCTTTGATGCTCAGAAGGCAAGGACAGAAGTCGAGGACTTTACAACTTTTGACAAGGTTTGAGATTAATCATTAAAATTACAATTAATTATATATTTTGTATGATATATATTAATGTATGGACTTTTAGATGGCATACATGGAGAAGAGGCTGGCCCAGTACGGCTGCGGCGCACATGTATCTTAGAGATTGGCGGCTTAAGATAGAATTAGAGGGACGAGTACAGATCTACAGTAAAGCGGTAAATCCAATAGTAAGTACAAAATACGACCTAATTTTCATCAGCACAAGGTCCGAAATTGAGTTTTAGTTTTGTCAGTCACTTTTCAGTCCTATATATAATTTTGTTACTATTGTAAATTTTAAAATTTAATCAAACATAAACTTACATTTATCAGAAATCAACAAAATGCTTCGACCATACTCAGCTACTCATCGAAGTGGGATCAGTCAACCAAGGAGATGAGATTCGAAAAGAACCTCCGTTGTTTGAAAATAGTAAAGATAACACGATCAAAAAGAGTGTAAAAGAAGAAAATCTTAGCAGTGGCAAAACAAATAGTGCATCATGTAATATTAAAACATGTAAAATTAAAAAACGTAGTCCATCAATTACATCGCAAATTAAAACAATACATAATAAATCTGAAATCGGACATAAAGGTAAAAAGTGTTCTATGCATAGAAAAGAAAAAAATTCCAAAGACAATATAATACCAAAGTTCACAGCCCCACTATCGGAGCATATTCTTATCAAAACATTTTAAATTAAGCTTTATTTAATTTATTAATGTGATGAATTGTGTAAATGACTGAAGTGATGCTACTGATATATGATATACTGTGTCTCACATAATTGAGGGTAGTTGTAAAAATATGCCGACAATATCGCAACTTATTTAAGGTTATAATTAAATTTAGATATTTCGTAAACAGATTAATATCTTTTTTTTTTATTCACTTTAAAGATTTGATCACAATAAAGATTAATATCTTTATTGTGAAACTTCCGAAAATATTAATGTACAAAATCGTTTTTAAGATTTAAATTCTCAAATAGGTACGGATGAGATTACTTAGATTTTTGTTAGTGACATACTAGTATATCTATTTTTGAAATATCTAAATTTAATATTAGATAGATAAAAATAATTTAAAAATAACATTTTGTAGTAATGGAAAAGAAAAGTTATATTTTTGACAGAGAAAATGTCGGTGTATTTCTATGAAAGTGCACTGTTTTTTACGCTAACATTAGGTACAACTCATGTACACAAAGAATCGCTCTCATGATAACCATTTTCTTAATTTCTACAAAAACTCCTACCTCTTTCAGACTTTTCTTTATTTTACCTAGTTTTATTTTTCACTAGCTATTCTCCACAAAGTAGTAAATATTTGTTTGATACTCAGTTAATGAATTTCGATATTATTTTTCAAAAACTTGTCAACATATGCAACATACTAATGTCAATCCTATGTGATATTTTTGACAGTAAATATTTTCTTAGAAAAAAAATCCATTAATTTATTCAAACTTTCGTGAGACATTATAATACTCTGATATAAAACAGCTAAACACTCACGTATATTGGTCCGGTAGCGGCACCGACTAGTTTCCAGCCCATCGCGAAAGAATACCAGTACCTTCATCATGATGTGTGGTACTGATATTATTTTGCAGACGCGACCCGTCGCTCATGAGCGGGTCCCCGATGGACTCGAAAATAGTCGGTGCCGCCACCAGATGAATTTACGTGAGTGTTTAGCCGTTTTTATATAACTTTAAAAAAACATTGTTTTGTTAAGATATGTATTAAAAAAATGCTTATTTATAATTGCTTTATATATCAGCATTAGCACAAAGTATATAAAGACTATGTTTGTAATTTTTCTGATACATTAATCATTTTCCGATTGACTGCTTGATATCAATGTGCGAACATACGCTGCTGTTACTTCAATAAGATGTAAATAATAATACTAAGTGTAACCTAAAGGCACATGCATAAGCTTTGAATGTACTGATAATAAAACATTGAATTATAGATATTGTTTCATTATAAATATTCCATACACATACAATAACAGGAACTAATAAAACTATTTAGACAAACTAAAGCAAATTTTTTCCCTGTGATTCGTGTCAATGAACATATTTTTTTGAAACAAAACTTTTTTGTAGACGAGGAGGTCTAGGATTGTTTAATGTACAATGTTAAAGGCAAACAGATATAATATTACATAACAACAAGTGAACATAATATTTAAATTGTACATATGTGGTACCAGCTTTAAAGTAGAAAGAAAAAAAATATTAGGCATCCCGCAAACGAATAAATTTTAAACTCTCTAATATTCCAACTCTACGTCTACCATTTTTTCCACTCTACCACTGTTATTTTGTTTATTTCAGTAAATTAAATTACAGTTACATTATAGAAAAAAGTAAGCACAAATACACATTCATACAAACAAAAAGACACACACACACGCGCACACAAAAACACACCAAATATCTTTCAATTTAAATTGTAGTATTTGTCAACACATTATGTCACAACTTGCTCGAAATTGCATTAAGAGATAAAAGAAGGCTTCTCTTCTGAAAAACACTAATGACTAAATCAAGAGACAGAGCTCTTCTAAATTAGTGTAATAATTTTTTGGCAGATAAACAATTTTCATGTTCCATTTGCATTTACCATTTTTTCTTAACATTCAATCATAAATTTTTTTGTTGTAAAAATGTAGACTGTAAACCAAATTGAAGGACACTTAAATTTTATGGCAGATGAAAATTGAACTAGAATACTTAACGACCTATTGGAAGTGTATTTTAGCGTTGTCTAAGTGCCTTCGCAGTGTAAAAGTGTTCCATTTATCAAGAAATGTCACCGAAATACAGTCAATATCGTAGCTCCGAGCAGGCGTCTTGATGTTACAGTAGTAATTACCTTTAAGCCATATTTCACAACATAAATCTTAAGTTTACAGACTCGCTCACATTTTACAAATATAAAATGCATAAATAATTAAAATACAAACAAGATCGAATAATAAAAAAGTTCACAACATAGAGCAAGTTCACAAACTTAAGGGACAGATCTACAAGTCCATCGTAAGACCTGTCGTATTGTACGGATCTGAATGTTGGGCCACCAAGGTTTCGGATGAAAGAAGATTGCATGTAGCTGAAATGCGTATGCTAAGATGGATGTGTGGTGTGACAAGGAAGGATAAAGTTAAAAATGTGTATATTAGAGGAAGTTTGAAAGTAGCGCCAGTGATCGAGAAATTGAGGAGTAAAAGATTAGCGTGACTGTGTGAAAGAGGATATGCGTAAAAAGGGGTAGACTCGGATATGACGGCTGATAGAGATGTATGGAGGAGTAGTACATGCTGTGCCGACCCTCGATAGGGATAAGGGCAGGTTGATGATGATGACAACATAGAGCAAGTCGAGGAAGGATTTTACATAATTAATTCTGTTCAAATATTGATAACAAAACTAATTAAGCAAGTAATTAAAGTTAGGATGCGGGTGCTTCGCGAAACAAGAAAACATACAGCTTTCAATTTGCACACGGATATTAATGTATTCAATTAATTCTACTACTTTCTGACTTCCATAAATGAATTTAAAATTAATCGCATAATACATGTCAATATACTAAAGTCAACCATGTAAACCTTAGCCATATACTTTGGATTAGAAAACAATATAAATATGTTGTAAAATCTATGCTGAAAAGTAATTTTTAACTTATTAATAAGAAGTACATGTAATAAAAGCGAAAGTATTGATGTAGCGAGTGTAGTATATCTACTCCTTAATTTTATGGGAGAGTATATAATAGATATAAACTTCATAATGATATAAAACATATGGTAAAAATACTTAAAACTTGAATGATCTTTTTTTACTATTAAGTCAGCTATAAACGTATAACTTTAACTGTACATTTCAGTTAAAACTGAACGTCTGTAGCAGGCTTTATATGTTTTTCAATATTAAATGAAAACCTTTCAATCATGAAAGCATCCGGAAATTGTTTACATTCAATATCCGTTCATTTCTTTTCTTTGTTACGTATATTTCTGCTTAAATTGAAGTTAATGCGGAAGAAAATATCACAAGGAAGCTTTCAACACCAATTCGCCTCAACACTAAGACGTATCATCTCTACTTTTTAAAAATAATCATAAGAAGCTCTCGCTAAACAGTTGGATTAAGGGCCCGATACAAAAGGCAATTATCCTAGAAACCGCACGCATCGTGAGAAGGTTCCTGTCTGCAGCCCTGACCACTGGTTGTTTGAGTCATGGGACTCCGCAGCCGGTGGTGCTCTATTTTTAATATATTTTATATATTTTTTATATGAAATGTAATATATTAAGAATATGATAAATAAATGTATAAAATTATAAATACAATAACACCGTAGTACTATTGTTCTTACGGTAAGAATAACATTTTTATTCATAAAATCTGTTTAAAAATCAAGAGATTATCTGTTTATTTACAAATTTTGATTATGTTAACTAGTTTCATTAAAATAATAAAAACTTATATCTCTTACAATAGTACAATCAAATTTAACAACACGCTACATTCTAAACTTGCATCCGACGAAATTAAAACTATTATCATGATCGTTAAAATTAAAGCTGACTTTATTATTTCATTAGGAAAACGGTAACGTTCACTCCTTACAAATTTATACAGTTGATTAGTTTAATTTGATTTTGTTACTACAATATCACTCTAATACCTTAAGATATGAAACCAAGATAATATGAATATAAAGTCAATACTTTTTTACAATTACTTTTACAAGTCTAATCTAAGTTGTGGATTTTTTATAAGAGAAGGGGGCAAACGATCGGCGGGAACACCGCAGTGATGAACGACACCCATGGACATCTGCAACACCAAAGGAACTGTAGATGCGGTGCCGGCCTTTATAGAAAATATACCCCAGTGATGTTATATATATTATTTAAATTGTTATGTTGTTACATTCATGAAAATACTAGCTGTCGTCTGCAACTCCGTCCGCGCGGAATTAAGAAAAAAACTAAATTAGTAGTCAATGTGTTCTTCCAAACTATGTTCTACATGTTTGCAAAATTTCAGCGAGATCCGTTGAGCTGTTTCGGATACACTTTCTAACAAATATCCATCCATCCATCTAAACATTTAAATATATAGTATTAGTAAGAAGTAAGATATTGCATGATTACATTGTTGGGAAAAAAATTCATAAATTCGAATACTCGAGTTGCGTTTATCGTAATGTTACGAAGTCATGTCCCGTGACCAAACTGTGGAATACGAGGTAAGTCTTTTTTTGTAATAAATGGCTCGCTGACATCAGTTAATAATGACTTTATAGCATGACAAACAGTTATAACGGAAGGGAATTACTTAACTGTCTTTACTGTAAACGGAAACGATTAATTTTCATTATTGTATTTTAAAATTTACATGCAAATCAACAAAGATTTATAATCCTGTGTAAACATGAAATGATGATAATATTATAATAAAAGAGTAACTTTGAAAGTTTTAAGATTTAAATTATGTCTCAAACTTTTATAACATAATGATTTTAGTTTTACTTCCTTTTCTTTTAAGTTTTTATATTTTTAAATCTTATACAGTACTCGCTAAAACAAACGAATTGAGAATCACCTCCTTAAAGTAATAATTTTGTTAAGTACGATTTAAAACAACAATTAAGTTAATAAAGACATAATTTAAAATGCATTTGTACTATTAATACATACATGCAATGTCATGCCGATTCGTCTTTTAATTAAAGTCAAGTTTTCGAACTCGTAACAATTGCAATGCTCAGTATAATAGTTGCAGCGTCTGTCGAGGGCGAGTGTAATTGTATGCAAATCATATGTTAAGAACTAAGAGATGCAGTACCGTTATTTCAAATTACATTTATACACTACTAGCTTTCCATTGTTTTAATTACCATTGATCACATCGTCGTCAAAATATTTTTTTTTTTGTAAAAAATATTAGCAAATTTTTGTTACCTTACTAATATTTCTTGTACCATTTCAACTAAGCTATGTGCTTATGCTAGGACATGGTTCACGACAATAGTCGAATGCAGGATTCGAAGCCCCTACCTCGTGATCGGAAATCCGTACCCTTAACCATTAGGGTATTGAAGCTTCATCATCCAACATTAGAAATAGACCAATTTTTAAGATTAACTAAACGGTCAAAATGTTTTCTTTTTATTGTTTTTCTTATTATTAATTCTTTATATCATATTTGTAAAATCGAATTTAAAAGAATTCAAATACAAAAATACACAATATAGAACGAACTAGTATTACATCTAAAAGTTTACGTTTAAACATTTCTGAAATGTGTGAAAACAGCACATTAGAATTCAGGTTGCAACTCCGCGGAATCAAACAGTCGAGACAGGCCGTTAGGAGTAACGTCTGATTTAAAAGAGATCTCAGACGCACGCCCCATAGGGAAATGGAAATGCACTTAATGC